CCCGTTTACAGTCAACACCAATCTTTCTGGTTATTGACAGCACTAGACTTCGACATCCTGAGCATCGTTTACAGTTTGATACTCTCTTGCTCATTCCGTCATTTTCTTTGGACACAATACCAGGGTATCATGTCCTACATAGTTTGTCTTGTCTTGTGCAAGTTCCCTGGAAAGAAAAGAGATTTGCACTTGGATTTAAAAAATAAATACAAATCTCGGTAGGGCTCTTTCCGTTGACTTGGCCATGGCCTTTAGGCTCTCACAGAGAAACTTTAAAAAACCCTGCTGGGGGTTTAAGCCATGTGACTCCTGTTGATATTATAATGAGATTTACAGTGCTTAAAACCCACAGGGGACTGACTCCTTACTTGGCGTCACACGGCGTTTCTGCAGTCATCCTGGTATATGGGTAACACGCGGTGTGTAAATTAATACACTGAATTTTTTTTGGGTTCTGCCAAACACATTGAAATCGTAGCTCTCCTATGTAGTCTTCATGGACTTTAATGGAGTGTTAACATGAAAGCCTATTTTCCTCACCCTTTGCTGTATTCAGGTATGGAAGCAGATGATAAAACCCGTTATTTTCTGAATTATTCTTTTCTGATGTGTATGGAGGGCATTTGACAGTCTGCCTGTCTGGCTTGGGTGGATGATCTTCCTTCAGCCATTCTCCCTCTTTCTCAGCTGAGGAAATGTGTGGTGTAGCATTTTTCTGATTTCCTTGCAAGGAATGCATCGGTCCCTTTGTTCTTTTAAAAACTTATCTGATAGAGCTTCTCCCCACTTGCACATTTTAAAAAAAACTGATAAAGTTAAACCAGTGCAATATTCTCTTCTAGAAAAGGCCTTTATAAGTCTCTCCACCTACAGTGGTTTTTTTTTTTTTTTTTAGGAAATTATCTTGCACATATATATATATTTATGCTTCAAGAACTATTTGTAAACACCCAAACATAAGATTTTAATGAAAGAATGATTTAGGGTCATGTACAACTCGTAATACCTTTTCCAGTCAGATCTGTACCTTTTTTTAATTATAAAAAAAAAAAAATTAAAAATAGTTAAAAAAATACACCTTCAGTTATCTTCACATTCTCATTGGGCCTAAAGTCAAGTGTGGCAGAATGTGGGCAAGAAATTCTCTTGCAACTTCTTCACATTTGGGATAACGTCTCAGGGGTATGTTCTACGGTGATCTTGCTATCTAGTGCATCAGAAATAATACAAGAACACAATTTTGTTATAGTACGCAGGCAGATAATATTACAGAACAAGAATAAACAGCATTTCCACGTGTGTATAAAATGGCAAAAAGTAGGTGTTTATCCATAACGTTACCTGTAATCCAGGATAAAATAAGTAATCGAAGCCACACCTAGATGCTGGTATGTATTCATATCCTTTGTGTATGTTTGAAGTTCATAACACAGCACAGGCATACTGTAGCAAAAAGATTTGCTATGAAAAATAGATATGTGTATGAGCATAAAATAGAGATTTCAATATTACTTTGACATTTTATTTTTAAAAGTCATCTAAGGTTATGGAAATTGTTGCAAAAATAATTCCTTTACTTAAGAAGTTTCCATGCAGAAGTTGAATAAAGAGGATATTTTAAAATATGGTTCATCAGTTAGTGCAACAGATACATTTCCCTGAGCACCACATGGCCCGGATCAAAGCGTCTCATGACTTGGATCAGTGCAGCCAAATCATTACGTATTGATTGGAATCCCGCTGAAGGATTAACCCCTTAGTGCTCGTACGAATTTTTTTCTTTAACCCTGGTTTCAGTCGTTGGAAAGCTCTGTGACGTTCCTGCCGAACCTTAGCAAGGTTAACAGCCCCCACTAACCCCTCGTACTGAGGAATCCTTAGATTACATGGTTCCTTTTTTTTATGGTAAATTTTGCATCTGAAAATACATCTTGAATCTTCTTTACTGGGACGTAAGGGGGCTGTACTTGGGCAAAGAAACAGCCTGTAAGAGGAAAAAAAACCCCGCCCCAAAATGAAAAAACAACAAAAACCCAACCCAGTAAATAAATAACATGGTGGGAAAGCCAAGGCTGCAAACTCGGTGCTTTTCCTCTTTCTATAGCGATGAGGAATGCCTCAGGTCCGGTTGTATTGTGTTACAAGAATGCACTGCTGCATGGAGATGACTTTTTCTTCCTGATGAAGTTGAATTGTAAATATGCAATGTTCATAAATTTCTTAGCAAAATATCAAGCAGGATATTAAGCAGGTCTGTCAAACGATTTCTCCCCCGTCCATGTTAATTTAAATTCTTTACAAAGCTTTTAATTAATGAATGAAATGTAGGAGGATAGCTAAGTAAGAATGACGCATGTTTCGCGCTGCAAATGGTATTTAATTCTGTTTTGAAGAACCACGGGCAGAGTCAGGTGGGTACCGTGAGGTGTTAGGGGTGTTTCAGGATCTGTTGTTTGCTGCTCTTAAGAGTCTTTATGAAGATTGATTGGCGCGGTACCTTCAGTTATGCCACTTCTTCTCTTTTCTCTTTCTCCCCTCCAGTTTATCCCACGAGGAGCACTCACACAGCCATCCGCTCTATGGACACGGCGTATGCAAGTGGCCAGGCTGTGAAGCAGTATGTGAAGACTTCCAGTCGTTTCTAAAGTAAGGATGGTTTTTTTGGCGCTTGCATTGTACAGAAAGCATGCCCTGAAATTTTGTGTGCTGTCACTCACCGTGGGCCTGATGCAAAGCCCATTGAAGTCAACAGAGAGCTCCCTTTCACTTCAGTGGCTTTTGGATCAGGCTCAAGAATGTTTTAACAGGGGATAGTAAATTAGCCCCATGGGGAAAGTATGGTCTTGCTCAGTGTATTACTGTAAAATAGAGTGTTTGCAGTTCCGCAGCCTTTTTTTTTATTTATTTACATAATTTTTAAGTTGCAGTATTGATAATGTAAACAATAGAACCTTGAGTTAACCTTGATTTCACTTTAATTTAGAAATTTAGTCTTAAATTAACTCCATAATTGAACAGAGAATTGCAGAACATCACGTGAAATTTAATTTATGTCAAATAAGTAACTAATGAACAAAGTCTACACTACTAAAAATAAACTATAATTATATTAATTGGGCCCCTGCAGTTTGCTGCAGACCTTTCCTTGCTGCCAAAGAACACAGTTTTACGCGTTGCATAAACAGTGCATTATGGACTAGTATGTGGTAATGCGTGCATCCCGATGCAGGGAAGGACCAGCAGAGCTCTAATAACTTACACATGGCTGCTCCGCAGCTGAACCATCAGCCTCACCCCTCCAAGCTGGAGCAAAAAGTGTTCCCATCGCAAAAGAGTTTTCTGTCTGGGTAGGTCACCAGGTACACACATGCTTTGGGTGCATCCAGGTTCTTGAAGGTTTGGGCACGGATCTTTTCTCAAGTACTATGGCTATTCGGTTGTAAGATCGCAAAAGACCAACCGCCCAAGCAACATTTATGATTTAAATGCACAAAGGGACAAACCCTGCTCCCATTTACAGTGGTGATCTCATGAAGGTAGTCCACATAAATACACGGGGTTCTTCAGGATGGATAAGTAGAATAAGTAGTCCCAAAAGGTTCAGCTGTATCTATTCTTTCTGGGGCAGTTTCCTGGATAGTTTTTTTTTTGGGGGGGGGGGGGGGGGGGAGGGCAACAGCAAGCAGAGGATGTTTGTCGGATGATGTTAGATGATACAGACAGGTTTTTTGCTCTCAGAACAGAATGGGCCAGTTCTGCTTCCACTGGCAAACCCCTCCTGAATTCAGTAGGAGCAGTGCTGGTCCTAGCATAAACATACATTACAAGTAAGGAATGGTACAGTAATGAGAAGGTTCTCATTACAAGAGGATTACAAAGTAAGAAGGTGCCAGTCATAAATTTCCATGAAGGGTGGCCTCATTTCTTTTAATTCATCCTGTTGTTCACTTAAGTGAAATAAATGCTAATCTCACCATACTTGCCAGCTCATTCATATTCATATGCCGTACTATAGCATTTAGGCCTTTAAAACAATTCTAATTTTTAATGCAAGGGAAAGGTGGCCTTAGATATTGGAGTAACGTGTGTAGTCACATAAGGTCAGATTATGCCACCTTTGCAGTGGCAGTCCCCTGTTCCAGGTTAGATCTGTTGGTTTCAGGAAGATTTCTAACAGAGCAGTGGACTGCTTGACGTGACCATGCGTAGAAAATACAGCCCTTAAGTCACACGGCATGGGTAGAGGCAAGAGTGATTTTTATATGGTATTTTGGAGATGTTTCAGTGAGTAGACCATGTCCGCCGGTTCACCTGGAGGAGGTACTTGGGGCAATAAATAGGTAGGAATAACCTGAAAACCCATTACCAGCCCAGGCTCCATCTACTCCCAGCTCCAACAGTTCTGGTTCTTTTCTCACTCACTTATCGTCAGTCTTTTTTTTTCCCCATTGAAGCCTTTCAACAGAAATATTTCGTGTGACTTTCTTAAACCCATCGGCTCGTGTAAATTTTCTCACTATCCAAGTTCTGCAGTGTCCAGACAAAGTCTTATTGTTCGGAGTGATACTTAACCCAGAACGAATGCAGAAATGAATGTCCCCGAGCAGCATATTGACACTGTTAGGAAGTGAGCGTTGCTTCATAAAATGAGACCCTAGCCTTCCAAGTCTCCTGTGGAGCGTCCGTCCTTAAATTATATTGCCATTTATCAGAATTCGTTACTCAATGAAAAGATAACAGGTAGATGCTTGAAGTTTCTTTCTGGTACTTGTATAATCTGTGAAGCTCTCTTGACAGTCCCCTCAAGAGAAAAGCTCTTGTTTACCAAGTGAAAAACAGCCCGTGAATGAATTGAGCCTTGCTTAATTTCACTTACCTCGGTAAAAAGGCCCGGTAGAAAAAGCAAAGAGAAGTTACATGTGGAATGAAAGCCCTGTATGCCAATAAAATGATTCTACAGTTAAGGGAGAAAAAAGGACTTGCAGGTCTGAAACATGGTTCATTTCTTTTCCTCCTGAGGAAGAAATATCATAACTGTTGGTAAATCAAAACCAGAGATTTGACACTCTTCTGTGATCGTTCTGTAGTGTTTGTTCCCAAGGTGAGGTACACCCCAGGGCCCTTGATTTCAAAGATAAATACTGTACAAATAACGATCCTAGTTGTCTTTCACTCAGAGCCAACAGGAGGATGCTTATCAGAACCAGCAGATACACGGGCTATTGTACGCATTTATTTCCCTATTTCTTTTTGAAATAAGTTGCAGTTTTAGCGTTTGGGTTTTTGGGTGGTGTGGTTTTGTTTTTTTAATCCATCAGCCCTTGGTTATCATGTGATGCGGTATCAGTTAGAGCTAACTGATAGCAGCAGGGGCTGCTGCTAAGCCTAATGAAACAGTAGCGCCCTGCGTGCTCCAGAACACTCCCCGAGCCTAAAAACAAAACTAAGCCCAGTCTCACCGGGGTGACCTGATGGCCTTCTGCCGAGCTGCGGGAAGGAAGCAAGGTGAGGGCTGGAGGGTGCACGTGTGTCTGGAGTGTTAACCAGGGCCCCTCTCGCAGGCGGCAACGAAAGGAGCAATTGGTAGCACAGGGCGACTTTCCTTCAAAATTGGCTATAGCCTTGATTTCATTTGCATGTGTTTAAAGACCGTTGCAGAGAGAAATATATACCCCTTACATGGCAAGTTGTTCAAGAATGGAGGGAGGGGTGGTTTATTCAGCAAGGTATCCAGGCATCCAGGGCAAAAAATGAAGGAGAAAAATGAGTAGGGTTTTATTCCCCCCACTCCCTTTTTTTTTTCAATTTGGTTGTGGTTTAGATATGCTTAATCATGGCTGTACCATTTTTAAATCAAAAATATTCTTTAAAAGTGGGACACAGACCTTTGGAGAGATCTTGCAATCCTATATTGCAGGGATGCTGGTAATCTGCTTCATGTGAATTTAACTTTGATGAAACGAAGGGGAGTTTATGTGAAAGAAACTACTAAGTGCACTCTGTAATGTTTTCACAAGTGTTTTTATCATGGTAACATCTTGTTTACTTTAGTTGCCTGCCTAAAACTACTTGGAACATGTTAAGAAAACATTTCGAGAAAGCTTCTACAAAGAGGCTTTTGTTTAGCAGCAACTGTGAGACTGCTCGGCTCACAAAGGTGTTAACTTTCAACCCCTTAAGCACTTCCACATGAAATTCCAGCAACTATGTTTGTGGTTTTGGAAAAACAAAGTGTATATTAAAGAAACCAGGTATATGCTAATACATGTTGAAGGAGGCCGGAAATCATAAATTGTTTCAAAGGCATTAATTGCTATCATTTGCATGTCAGAATGTTCTGCAGTGAAATCATCTGCAGTGAGCACAACGGAGACTTTTTAATCGGATAGGTAGCAAGGGCCGAGAAGAGGTCGATAGCCGGCTTTTTAGGTTTCTGAATTCCCGGCAGGCCCCGCCGCGCTCCCC